CAGGTTGGGGAGAGGCAGAAAAACGAGTCTGTGTCTGGCTGTGTCTGCAAGTGTGACTTCTGTATGACGTGAATAATAATCACATACACTATACCATGGTAATCAGATGTAACTACGTGGTTACCGTCTGAAATACCCTGTATTTCGTGCCTCCTAAGCTGTCAAGGTATTTTTGATGCCCCTTTTTTCTTGACATTTTAGGAGCTGGTAAGACAAAACGTAGACGAAGATTTGTGATTCTGGAGTTGGAAGCCTGTCACTTCCTCACAAACTTTTCTATATATTCCCTTTAGTGAAGAAGACTTTTATTGGACAGAACAAATCATTTTTTGGTCCTTTGGAGCTAGTGGAAAAACTTTGTCCTGAAGCATCAGATATAGCAACTAGTGTTAAAAATCTGCCAGAGTTGAAGTAAGTTGATTGCTGGGGATGATGCATTTCACTTGCTGCTGGGAAAAAGAATCCTTTGTGTAGTCTTTTACCTTCCTTAATGAGATCTTGTTCCCAAAGAGAAAGATAGCGTGTGTAGGAGGCATTGACTTCTCCAAGAGATAAAGAGGACATCTCAAAACTCTCCGTGCTTCTGAGTCAAACAATGCTGTCAGATTAAAACAACAGCATTTGGAAATTCCTATTATAAGCTTACTACAAATAACTGTAGAGTCTTCACAGCTATTTTCTTTCCTCTTCCTTCCCTCACTTTTATAGCTTTGTCTAATTTTGTGCATGTGCTAGTAGTATGTTGTTTGGGTAATTCAGGATGATGAAAACAGACTAGTTTTAATACTAGGATGCATCAACAGTTGGTTTATGGTGGCAGTTGAAAATATGTGTGTTTTTCCAAGTTAGGAAGATTTTACAATATGCTTCCCATTCACTGAAGCAATGGGATTTACTCAAATGCTTCTGTGTTCTGGCGAGAACACTTTGTAAAGGGAGAATTTTGAATTGTGTAAATCTAGTTAATAAACCATTTTGCTTTTACCAAAACATGCAACTTTTCATTTTAGGACTGCTGTAGGAAGAGGAAGGGCTTGGCTTTATCTAGCACTCATGCAAAAGAAACTGGCAGATTATCTCAAAGTACTCTTGGACCATAAGCATCTATTAAGGTAACAGTACAGACATACATAGATTGTATTCACTGAGTCACTAAAAGCTTGCATTACTGTAGTAGGAGGTAATTCATTGACCAGTTTAAGCTTTTTCTTGCAACCTGCAGAGGAGCAAGTTGTTCATTGTTTTTGCAGTGAACCTGCAGAGGAGCAAGTATTTTCTGTGAGAAACAAGTAGAGTATTTTCTGTGAGAGTGCTGCATGTTCCACCTTGTGCAATAAATTAGCAAGGAGGGAGCTTATAAGGACTACATTATTATTTATATTATTTCAGTGGTGGAAGCACAGTTATCATTATTATGATGTGCAGTGATACCTTATAATATTTCTTCTAGTGAATTTTACGAACCTGATGCGTTGATGATGGAGGAGGAAGGAGCAGTCATTGTGGGTCTGCTAGTTGGACTGAATGTTATTGATGCAAACCTTTGCTTGAAAGGAGAAGACTTGGACTCCCAGGTGAAGATTAAAGCTAAAATAAGATCAGCCTGTATAAGATTCCAGTAGAATTAAGCACATCTATAAATACATTACTGAGATGGGTCCAGAATTCTTTAGTGTGGTATGTAGCCAGGGTTTGCCATTGTTTTCATAAGTGAGCAGTTGAACGTTTTATGATAAATCAAAAATTGGATGAACTAAGCTAATTGCAAGAGATACGTTGTGAAGTTCAATCTGCTAGGGACTTACAAGAGCTTTTGTTTTGAGGGTGAACGGTGGTTTCCTCTCGGCTTTGGGGGGTGTGTGTGTGATGTCACATACCTCTGCTGCTTTAATGAAATGTCCCAGGAGTATAAGCAATGTTCTGAGGTATTTGCGGTCCAAACAAATAAATGCCTTGCATGAATCTGTGCTTAACTTACTGTGAGTGTCTTGTAATTTGAGACCATGTCCTCTTTCAGCCAATCTGTTTTACTTTTGAATTAGGTAAACTTTGACAAAATGGGTCAATGGCATTGCAGAAGTCTAACTCTCTAAGCTGTAAATTAAAAATATATGTTGCTATAATTTTATTATTATTAACTTTTTTGTTCTTTAAAAGATAATGTTGCAGAAAATAATGTTGAAATTATCCTGCCTGTTCTACAAATTATGAACACGGCTAACTATTAATGTATTTATAAGAACTCAAAGACTTGCTTAAATGTCTTATTTGCATAAGATACTGTATTTGTTTTTAGAAAGCATGATTTAAGTTCTTTTTTTCTTTTTCTGTTTTTTTCTTTGGGTAGGGGGTGGGCAGGAATGTCATGTATGGAAGCTTATCATGTTTCCCATGTTGAATCAAAAAAAGTACATCAGTATCTGTTTCTTTAAGTAGCAGTTTATCGAAATGCTGTCAAAACTAGTAACTGCTAGAAATATATAACCACACTGAATATGGTTATTTTGATGTTTTTATGACAAACACTAGCTTGTGCGCTTGCTTCAGCTGGGAATAATAGAGGTATTATCTGTCTTTCTAAACTTAAACTTCAGATGTTTACCTTTTTCCAAATAAGGAAATATAAATATATATTAAATATAACGTAATGCTTGCTGCTACACAAAATTGCACTGTGAAGTTGCATTAATGCCTTAAATATATTTTTCAGGTTGGAGTGATTGATTTTTCATTATACCTTAAGGAAACGCAGGACAGTGATGGCAAACAGTATGTACGGTGAATTAGTGATTCTAAATTGTTACGATTTTTGTAGAACAAACCTGTCAGTCTGTGGGAACACATGAGTGCTAGAGATCTTAAGCTCTTTTATTCATCCAAAAAAGAGAATCGAAAATAGATTCTGGTAGCTAAACAGAAGTACTAACTTTCAGAGGTTGAGCCCATGGTAGCTTTAACAACAATACAGTGTGGAGAGTTTGTGTCTTGAGCTGGGACCAAATCAAAAGCGCACAAAACTTTAGGTTGTGTTTTTACTGGGTTTTAGGAGACATGATCTTCCAGGTCACCCACTGTTACATCACTGCTTTGTTTTTAAACACTGCTTCAGAAACGCTGTCAATTAAGTAGCTGTCTTTGTGAGAGAGATCAGTTATGGAGGAAGAAAAGTACTTCTAGGTGAGATATTATGTGAATTCATGAGGGGACTTCATAGTTTGTGTGCTTCCTGCACTTCAGAGCACTTTTACTGTTTAGCTGCTGAGAGATGCAGCTAAACAGCTGCTTCGTCTCCCTAGTGCTTCTGGCCTAGCTCAGGCACAAGTATTTTTATAATAATAGGAGAAAAGATTTCAACCCAGTTTGCAAGTCTATGCTGAAAACTCTAATACAAACTGACATTTCAGAATGAAGGAGTTTCTTCTCAATCAATAAATTCTCTCTTTTACAACTAGAGATGGAGGGATTACAGCTGTCCTTGACCAAAAGCATTATGTGGAAGAACTTAACCGACATCTAAGGTGGGATTTTCATCTATTCTAATGTACAAACACTTGTGCTGTTTAGCTTTCCCAGTATGACTTCGAATGTCTCTGCTGTCAGTCTTGCAGAGTTTTGTGCAATACTGAAATACCTTTTCTGATTATTTCCCCAAATCTTAGATTTACTTTGTAATCTTACTCTTCTGATGGCAAATGCAGTGCAGAAAACAAGTCTGTGTAATAATAGTTTACTTTTTTTGAGACTTATTAGTGATCAACAGAAGATTTTGGAGCTACTTTTTCAAGAGAAAACTATTACAAGTGCATCTGGAAATTAATTCTTTAGAGGAAGTCTCTATTCTTCCCCCATAGGTTGCTCAGGGGGAGGAGCAGGCCTCACTTACCCTCTTGAGCATCAGAGAGGTGTTACGACTGCAAAAGCTAAGCCAGAACTAATACAGTGGGCTGCCAACTAATACAGTAGGCTGCCAACTATAGGGAAATTCATGGTCCTCTCAGAGCTTAAGAGGGTCAATTGTCCTTTCTCTGAGTTTTTTGCCTGCTCATCAAAGTATTGCATTGTTAACAAATGCAAGATGATAAAAGCGTGGTTGAGGAGGGGAATAAATGTTGAACACTGGCACTTCTTTTTTTGTTTTTTTGCATCTCTCTTCCTTCCCACAGTTGCACGGTTGCAGATCTTCAGAACAAAATAGATTGTTTAGAAAAGACCAATTCAAAACTCCAGGAAGAGGTTTGTGTCTGGTCTGTTAAATATTTCTCATAACTGTTTTCCATCAGAGGCAAAACTCCCTAAGAATATACCTTAGACCTAATATTTGAGTTGATACTAACAAAGTATGATGGATTGGTAGGACTGACATGAGTTGGCACATGGGGAAGCTCTGTGGAAAGCTTCTACATTATGTTAGTTGTTAAACTGCTTTTGGGCACCTAGTTGTTAGACGGGTTTCCTTAATCAGGTTTTTTATCTTGCAATGGTGTCTCCACCCAAAAGTAATCATACCACTATAATGAACGTGACTTGTCCCCCTTCTTTCTGGACATACACGTGTGTATGTATTTGTCACATAAGTTAAACAGAGCTCGGAAAAAGAGAAAGAAAAGAATGACATTTCAATTGGAAATCTTTCCTAGCTGGAAACTGCAATAGAATCCAGCAGCATGCATGATAGCAGTTGTTTTGGGTTTTCTGGTGGTGAGTTTTTATATATATATAGATTTTTTTTTTTTTCAGGGTATTTTAGAGCATATCTGTATAGCTCAGTATCTCCACTTGAAAATACCGTAGGGTTCCACCAATGAATGTCAACCTTGCCTTGCTGTATGACTTCTAGTTCATACCAGAATGAATACCACAGATCACAGATCTGTTGTGGATTTTAGGCTTTTACACTAGGATGCATTTCTTTGGACAGTTAATACTTAAAAATAATTTATGGAGGTGTGAAGCAGAAGTCAAATGAACAAATGTTGGTGGGCTCATTAATTTAGGCTGTACAGTGAGTCGGCTGCAAAAGGGTCAGGCAGCTTCTGAGGGGGACAAAAGGGGAAGTGGGCAATGCACCTGCTACAAAAGCTGGGCTGCTAACTTTAGAATTCCTCCAGGTGTTTCATGCTTGTACAGTGATCAAATACAGATATGTTCTCTTTGTAAACAGCTTGCAGCAGCAACTGACCGAATTGGATCACTTCAGGAAGAGCAGCAGCAGCTGAAACAACAAAATGAATTAATTCGTGAACGGAGTGAAAAAAGCGTAGAGGTGGGACATCTATTTAAAGATGATGAGGATCCTTAAAATAAGTGATCTCTTTTGACCAACTGTAGTTAGTGCTTTCAAAAGCACTTTGAACTGGAATGCTAAGCACGGTTTCGCATGCTACTGTGTAGATCACTGTTTTTGTATATAGTGTGCACAGGCATTAGATTCTGCTGTTCTTTACTACACACTTAAACATATACTTGCAGAAGGGAGAAATCATTGAAAGTGTTAAAAAGTTTTCTTTTATTTTTACTCTATTCTTTGAAATTTCAGCTTATCAATGCTTGCCAGCTTATTAATTGTAAAACAGTAGGATTTTACTTGAAATAGCACATAGAAATATTGTGCTACGCACAAGAGCTTAAGGTATGCTTTAAATACATAGCTTTGTGATCTTATGTGGCTTTTTTGCTGATGTTTCTTGTAGGTAACAAAAGAGGATACAAAAGTAGAATTGGATACTTACAAGCAGTCACGCCAGGGTCTTGATGAGATGTACAGTGATGTTTGGAAGCAATTGAAAGAAGAAAAAAAAGTTAGGCTGGTAAGAAACTTAACCAGAGAAAGTGAAATGAAAGATACAGGATTCTGCATGCTTTAAGGTAGCATTACGAATAGAAGATGTATGTTGTGAACTTTTTGCAGCTATTCAGAATTCATAAAGCAGTTGCAAGCAAGATGCTGGACATTGGTCGTTAACGGTGTCTGTAAAGAACAGGAAATTGGGGCTTTTGGAATGCTGAAAATAAAAGGTCTTTCCCTGTTTAAGAACCTACCAGTATTATGATAGCAGAGACTAAGATCAAAACATGAAAAGAGGCAACTGCCTTTATGTAGGAAAATATGGTACATGCACGACAGTCACTTGCAAAATGAACTGCTGATTAGTGACTGGTGACAGGCAGCGCAGGCTTACTGAAGCCTATGTCTCTAAGTCAGCCCAACTCCAGCTGCCAGGAGAAATGCATCATTTGGCAGGCTGCTGAGTTACACACTGAGCTCTACACGCCAGCAGATCTGCACCCTTGCCCTGATCTGGAGAGCTGAAATAATATTTTGCTCTTACTAACTTCATGTATTAAGACCTAGGTTTAGATTGGATATTAGGAAAAATTTCTTCACCGGGAGGGTGGTCAAGCATTGGAACAGGCTGCCCAGGGAGGTGGTGGAGTCATCATCTCTGGAAGTGTTCAAAAAACGTGTGGATGTGGCGCTTCAGGACATGGTTTAGGGGACATGGTGGCATTGGGTTAATGGTGGGACTTGATGATCTTGAAGATCCTTTCCAACCTTAGTGACTCTGTGATTCTGTAAAATTGTAGTTTGGTATTCTCTCAGAGTAACACATAGTTTGTGTATGGGGTTATATGGGTTTTGTAAATGCTTATCCCTGACATATGACTATGTAGCAGTAACTAGGAAATTTCTTTGTAAGGAACTAGAGAAAGAGTTGGAGCTACAAATTGGAATGAAAACAGAAATGGAAATTGCCATGAAACTTCTGGAAAAAGATACTCATGAAAAACAAGACACTTTAGTTGCACTTCGCCAACAGTTAGAAGAAGTGAAGGCTATTAACTTGCAGATGTTTCACAAATCTCAGGTATGTACATAGTGGAGATGTTTCACAAATCTCAGGTATGTACATAGTGGAGAGCAGAAAAAGCAGCGGTAGTGGTGGTCTTTTACATGTTAATTGTGCGCTGGGGATGCATATGGACTTATATGCACCTGAAGTAATACTTAGATGCAAGAATTTTCTTAAGAATATCTATTTTAAAACTGTAGAAGGAATTGTTTAATTTTTTTATTATGCTTCATTATTGGTATGATATTGGGTATGTTTGGAAAGAAAGGGGGTTTCCTGGAGTATGCTGCGTAGTGTGCCATAGGATCATCCAACAAATGCAGAGATAACTGGAGAGCTCTCACAGGGGAGAAGGTGTTTGCAAGGGTCCTTTGTTGTAACCACTGAATGATTAGTCTTCAAAAAAAGACTTACTGCAGCCAAGAACTGTCATGCTTCTCCTTCCCATCTGTGTTGTCTTGCCGTCTTGCCTTTCACCTGCACCACATTTAACACTGTTTACTATAGAAACCAACAATAAGCCTCTCTATACCAATAGAAAACTATCAGTTATTTTGGTCTGTCCCGTAGTCTGTACGCTGAGTGCTATAGCCAGTGGAAAGGCAACACTGGATTTGGGGAGGGAGGAACTCTGTGGTCAGGCTGGCCTCTGGAGCTACCAACAAGTTGTTGGATTGGTTTAGGTATTTTCTTATACCCCCTTTAGCATAAGACCTGCTCTCCAGATAAAAGATGGTTAGAGAAGTAAAATGAAAAACATTTTGCTTTCTGGGCCTGTCTCCCTTCCTTAGTTTCTTCCTTACCCTGCCAGTTTTTAGAGTTTACTTTCTTTATCCTTTGCATTATATATATTGCAGGGGTTTGGGGATGTTTTGGGTTTTTTTATTATTGTTTGGATGAGTTGTAGTGTTTTGTCTTGGTTTTTTTTCAGTTGGACAAAAAATATACTGTTAGGCATTTCTACAAGGAAGTGATGGAGTAGTAGTGTTCACACAAAATATGCAGAGCTTGTCTCCATTAATGACATAGGAGTTTAACTAGACTGGTATCTGGTGCCAGAAATCCAGAGGGGATTTCTCTCAGTTTTTATGGACTATTTCTTGATGCCTGTTCAGGCTTTATCCAGGCCTTTGCCTCCTTCACAGATGCACAGAAACTTGCAAGGCAGTGGCCAATGAAAGCCCAGGGTTGAGGTATGCCTTTGCTTTCAAAAGCAGTATTTATTTTGGGTTTGGTTTTGGGGTTTTTTAGCTTCCTGATTCCATGCCCACTGAGTGCAGTTGTTACATTCAAATCATAATAGTAACATAACTGATATTCTTATCCTGTCAGTTTAATCCAATAATTTCTCTCTTCAAGCTTGTTTCCAAAGAGAAGGTTTTTGGCATGTAGCTGATCTCGTAGGTCAAAACTTTTTTTTTTTCCCCTTCTGCGCTCTTAACAAAACGAGTAGAGGAGTGTCTGGCATTATCCACATTTTATGTGTACACTGCAGTTAGACCCAGGCATGGCCTGTAACAAGCTAAACATTCTTTATCTAGTAGCAGACTTTCATTAAGCACTAACACTTTGTGCTTTAGAAAACTAAAATGTATTACCTGGAATATCTATTCACTTATTCCTACAGAATGCAGAGTGTTCATTACAACAGAAAACAGAAGCAATATCCTCTTTTGAAGGAAAAACAAATGAGATGATGTCCTCTATGAAACAAATGGAAGAGAGGTAAAAATTACAAGCTCAAAAAGTCAACACTGCAGTCAGTAGAAATTTTCCAACTGAAACCTTTGTAGAATGACCTTCCATACACCTCCTATAGACATTGGGGCACACGTGCCAGCATGACATTCTTTTTCCTTTCTCCTCCTTATCATCACCCTCTGTGCTTGCCTGTTCTCTTTTCCCAGGCAAACATGCCTATAATTGACCCATTCGAAAACCATAGCTCTTTCCATAGGCAGGCTGTTTAAAAAAAAGTTGACTTTAGTAACAGGTATGACTCACTTTTGGGTTTTTTTTTCAGAAACAGTTGCTTTCAAAACTCTTTTTTTCTCCACTAGTATTTTCAGTTCAAGCTTTTATAAAGATCCGTATGGTAAATCTAAAAGAACAGAATGAGAGGTATAGGTAAGGAGTGTGCAAATTGACAACAAATATACATGTTCATTACTTTGTAGACTGCAGCATGCAGAAAAGGCAAGGCAGGCTGCGGAAGAAAGATGCAACAAGGTGAAGCAAGAGCTTGCTGGCAGGCTTGACACTTGTCGGCAACAGATGTCCCATCTGGATAGCAAATGGTATTTAATTTGATCAGGTTTTTTTCCTTCCTTTCTGCCATTTCTGTAAGAAGTGTTTTTCTACTCCTTTTGTGCCATGGGCTAAAGAGGGGTTAGTTTGAATTATATTTGGTTCAGCAAGTATTGACAGAAGTATGCAAGATCTAGGAGAGCACAGTACTTCTGTATAGTGCACAGTTAAGAGTGGGATTTTGAAATGTTTTTTCCAGAACATCCAGTTTAGAGCACAGGGTGTCAGTAGAAATCTGGCCATTCTGACTAGCAATGGAGCTTTCAGTTGCTTTTTTTTTTACTAGCTCAGCAGGTAGATACGGTCATGCTTGTAGGCTGAGCATGTAAGTGACTATCATCCAAATGGATTGAGGTTTTTGGAGGAGTTTGAGTGGTGGGGTGCATCCTGGTGTTCTTAGGGAATGTTAATCCTCTAAAGATTTCTAACGCCTATAGAAAATGCTTCTTTCACTGTTCAGACTTGAGGTAGAGTGTCACTTTTAAACATGGGTGTTTAAAAACAGGTAGTCTAAGATGTACTTGTGGGGATTGGCTTTGGGGGTTTTTTGTTTGGGGTTTTTTTTTTATTCTTTTTTTCTTCTAGCCATTCATTGCTGCTTGTTTTCTGTGACCTGAAGATGCTACTGTGGTTGTTGATGTCTGCTGCCATAACATCCCTGTTCTCTCCTTTCCCAGAACACAACTCTAGTTTTTGCCTTCTTTTGGACAAGGCTGCTTCTTCTCATATTGTTGCTATCCTTAAGTGCTATAGGATATTTTTCTACTACAGGGTTTCTTAGAATTAATTATTTTTAAATAGCTCAACTCTGGAAAAGGAGTTAAAATCTGAAAAGGAACAGAGACAAACTTTGCAAAGAGAACTACACCAAGAGAAGGATGCTACCACTCTGCTTAAAACAGAATTGCAACAAATGGAAGGACTGAAAAAGGTACGCACAGTGCAAACGTGCACAGCGTTCAGGATTAAAGCTGACTTAGAACCAGTGCAATGTTTGCGCCTGTAGAGAATTTCTTCTGCGCCACTTTTCTCCGAGCGGTTTCACAAGCTCGGCTGACATAACACCAGTCTGGACATGAAATGCCAATACAGGGCTCAGGCAATGAAAACAGCTTAGCTAGAGATGGCTGAGGAGTTCGCTCTCTGAGCTAGAGGTGGCTGAGGAGGTGCCCTGCCTTAGCTGCGTGAGTGTCTGAGCCACACACCAGTCAGCAGCTGAAGCTGAGGTGGGATAGCTGGGGTTAAAAAGTTCGTCAGCTGTCCCATGGCGAGATACCCTTGCTCAGGTAGGAAATGGCAAGTTCAGAGCTTCCGGTGATGGTGTGAGGTCTTTCAACTATATGTAATAAAATGAAAACCTGTTTCCAAGTTTTTAAAACAACTGAATGTGATTTAATTTTTAAGCGTGAACATTCTTATTAATCTAAAGAGAATTTGTTCCTGTGTATCAAGTGGTTCAGATTTTGAAGGCACAATTTTACACCAGTGTCTGTCTCTACGCTCGTGTGTGGGCATAGGACTGCTGCAGCCTAGCTATGCTCAAGAGTGTTTAAAGCGTGAAATCTTCCTCTCTTTCTGATAAAAATGATTACATGATTTCACTGGTTGTGCTCTACAAGAGCACATGGGTAGTTTATCCATGTAATTCTAAAATTCAGGCCTTAGAAATAGGTAGCTTTATAAAAGAGCTTATTCTTGTGGACTGCTTGAGTAGGTTGGATAGACCGATCTAGGTTATAGATCAAATTTAGCACACAAAAAACTTTGATTTTGTGTCTGATTTTATAGGAATTGAGAAAACTGCAAGATGAGAAGCAGCAGTTAGAGAAAGTCTGTGAGGAGCAAGAGCAGGCTCTTCAAGAAATGGGACTTCATCTCAGCCAGTAAGTTCCAGGAACTGAACTCCTGTAAGTGACGTAACCTGGTGTATGGAGTATCAAACTAATACCAATAGTTTTAAAACGCATCCAGTTATAAAAATCAATAAACTTGCAAATCAATAAACTTTGAGAATAGAATGTAAAGTCATGCAGAGAGAATTACTTTTTTTTCCCTCCCCCCAGATCAAAGTTGAAGATGGAAGATATTAAAGAAGTAAATAAAGCGCTCAAGGTACTCTACATCTCATGGATATTTTGACTAAGCATACGCATTTCACGTAACACCTTCAAGTTTCACCATGGTTATCCTACTTTAAAAGATGGCTTTTGGAAAAATACCAACAAAGTTGGTAAACTGCCTTTTGAATTTTATTTTATAAATTTATTTGTATCTACAGTGAGGTTTTCATTCCAATTTTCTAGGGTCATACCTGGCTGAAGGATGATGAAGCTACACACTGCAAGCAATGTGAAAAGGAATTCTCTATCTCAAGAAGGAAGGTAGTGGTGTTTGGTGGATTTTTTTTTTTTTTTCCTTTTTTCCATGACAAAACAAAAATGGTGCTGTTGCATAGTTTGCTAGGGAAGACTGACCCTTCTTCAATTCCAGATCTTGTTGGTGTGGTAACTACATAGAGAAGTAGTTTGTTCTTTCCCATCCTAAAAATAATGTTCTTCTGCTTGGGTGCTTTCCTTGGTAGGGAGCTGTTGTGGGCTTTGTTCTCTGGGGCTGTGGTTCATCTTGTGTCCCAGCTGAGCTGTGTGTGATGAGGGCTGGACGCTGATGGGCCGAGCTGTGCCCTTAGGCCGCAGGGGACTGCTGCCGGGCCCTGCTCCACGGCTTGGGACGGCTTATGGTGCCTGGCAGCCCAGGCACCACATTTCCTCTGTATAGAGCCGGCCCGGCATGTGCTTTCCTGAAAGCCTGGGCCTGGCTGTGTGGTATCCACACAGGGCCTGCTGGAGGGCCGCGAAACGGCAGCAGCGCAGCTCCTCCGGTCCTTGGCCGGGCCTGCCTCGCCAGCAAGCCAGGGGCAAGCAGGCCTCGTGGTGGAAGGAAGCCGGGCTGTGCGGGGATCACACCGCTTCCCATGCAGTCCTCCTGGCAGGAGGAGGTGCTGCCAGGAGGGTTGGGCCCGTTGGGAAGTGCAGGGTGATGTCAGTACACTACAGAGGCTTTTCTGAGGTCTGATTTATCTCTTTCTGATGCTGAAGTTTTAGGTAGTTGTGCTTATTTTAACTCTCTGTTTGTAGCATCACTGCAGAAACTGTGGGGACATCTTCTGCAACACGTGTTCCAGTAACGAACTGGCACTGCCATCGTATCCTAAACCTGTCCGTGTCTGTGATACTTGTCACACTTTACTCCTTCAGCGGTGTTCGTCCAATTCCTCCTAAGGCTTTTGTAACCTTGACAGGACCACTTCAACATTGGAAAAGTAGCCATTATCTTTTTAATTCTGAATTCCAGGCATCTCCTCTGCAGGAGGCTATCTGGTTTGTAGTATTTTCAACTGTAAGACAGAGCCATGTAAAATAATTTGTAGGAATTATGCAAGCTAATGTTTCTCCAGCTGGAATAATAAGAAAATGAAATCTGTAATTTGCCACAAAGGTGTACTTGAAACTAAACTTCAACTTCACTTTTCTGATTTTTATAGATATTTGTATTAAAGTTTGTATATGGCATTTCTATGTTTATTTGATCCCTGTAGATGTTGCCATCTTTCTGCACATCAGCTGCAGTCCCTCTGTATATACCCTCACTGTAGGTGTGCTCCTGTGCGTTTCACTGGCTAGTGTACAGTTTTGTATTTGCTCTAAGTACTGAGGAGAAAAATCAATTTATGAACTGTCTAGAGCTTTATGATGAGTGTCCATGAATGTGCCTTCAGTTCACTGCAGTCACTTGTTCTGAAAGTCGCTGTGCCCACAGTATGGTAGTTATACAATAAAGCCTTTTGCAAAAACCAAAAGCAAGAGCGAAGTTCTGATTTTTAACAGCTGTTGGTTACAGGTCCCAGAAGAGAAGGTTCTTATACAGCCATGGCTGCAGCCAGGCTCCAGCTAGAGCAACAGACCAACACACATGCTCAGCGTTCTCCTGGAAGGTGCCAGATAAAACCAATGCCCTGCAGAGGTAACCAGCTGCTTCTGTGCTTCCCCAGGCACCCTTTAGCCTGTCAGGACATGGCAGGGCAGGTGCTCCATCAGCTGCCTTAACCAGACAGGGCTGTGCCAGCTTCCACCTGTCACTTTCTCAAGCCTGGGCAAGGCTGCCCTCAGCACCCTTCCGAAGCACAGCTTGCGCATCAGGCTGGCAGCCATCACCTTACACTCATGGCAATGAGGGAGGGGGCCAGGGAAGGCAGCCCAGGCTGCTTAGTGACGCCTGCGCACCACGGGACAGCCCTTTGGCTGCGCGGGTCCATCCTGTGCAGCTCCTTTTGGAGGCTCCATTCAGAGCAGCACAAACCAGGCCTGGCACTGCCCCAGCCCTGGGTTCATGACTGCCTGCAGCAGCCCCTTGGGGAAGCCAGTTGTCAAGACCGTAAAGACAACAGCAGCTGCACTGTTTAAGTGCTTGCAATTTAACCCCTCCTAGCACCACTGCTGCACACCATGGGGTTTTCACTGCAGGAAGTTTCTAACCCTTAGGGAAGAATAGCTAATTAGAAAGGGCAGCAATTAAATCTACTATTGCAACTGCATGGGAGCAGAGTCCATATTATTTCAGGGAGAAGGTCAAGGCTCAGCTAAGCTACTTCTACCAGCAGTCTTAAGCCAGCTCTTTTAAGAGTAGGATTTATTGAAATGTGGTTGCACCAGGCTGCAGCACCCACCCATGCAGCACACTGGCTCCAGCAGTGCCTGCACCTAAGAGTTGCCCCTTGCCCCTATTCCAGCCCTTGTAGCGCTCCACACACACACCCACTCAGCACTCACAGCAGTGGGGACCCCCCCCCCCAAGAAACAGCTGTCCCTGTAGCAGTGGGGACCCACCCCCCCAAGAAACAGCTGTCCCTGTAGCAGCTTTCTGGTGAGCGCTGCCCTCAGGAGTAGTGACAAGGCTCAGAGCAGGGGCACTAGAGGCACTCCTGCAGCTACCCCACAGAAGTTGGAAGCAAGGAGGACTGAGTTCCAGTTTTTAAAAGGAAGATTTATTTAACAAGTTTCACTTAGCGCAATACACCTAAAAAGGAAATCACAATACAATGGAAGATTAAATCAAGGCCTCAGAATTTTATACGAACACCAAGACCAAAATCCTAAAGTAGCCGTATTGCGTCTCAACATGTTTCCCCCATTAACTTAAAAAAAAAAAGCTTTAACGTGCCTTACAGGATATTAAAAGAAATAAACTAGAACTAACATGCCAAATGTTCACTTTGAATTTCAGACACAGCTCCTCTATTGTTTCTTTACAAAAAAGCATGTCTCTTTCAACATGTATTCAAAACAGTGGTGGATGTAATATGGTATAAGAGCAACATTTAACGTAATTCGAACAGCTTTAACCTAAATACGCTTACTGCTTAAATACACTCCTACAACAAAACTAACTTGAGAAACGCTCAAAATTGTTTAACAGTTATAGTCTTTACTCAACTTGGTTATTACATCCTAGATGAATGTTCAATTTCTGTATGTTCAAAAATACTGAACTCGAAAGGTTTTAAAATAACAATCCTGAATTCACTTACAGTAAAGCATAAATCACAAGCTTGTATTGCAAAACTGTTAAACTTAGTTTTTTGTTTTTTTGTTTTTTAAAAAAGATTTGACCAAAAGTCAGCGATTGGTTACATTCCCCAGCCACCACTCATGTTGGACATGTTCGACATGCCGCCCATGCCGTTCACTCCCATGGAGGCGCGGTTCCCGCTGCTGTAGTAGCTGCTGTTCATGGCGCCCTGGCTCCCGGGGTCTGAGGGGGAAAACCGACAGCAGGTTGACGGCTGGTTCAGGCCGATTCGAAGCAGCATTCCCCCAACGCCTGTCCTTGCTGGGCCACCTCGTAAACACCATCCACTGTGCCCAATACTGCAAAGTGTCAGTTTACAGCTCCATACCCAAGAGGAAGTTCATCGGTTGTTCAACGAAAGAGCCAGCTCTGTCTCACCCTCCATCCGAGTTCAGCATTTTCCACCACTGCCCCCACCCTCCCC